GGCAATTACTGCACATTTTCATAGCCCCCCTCCCCTTCTGTCTCGTGGTCGATTGCCTTAAGGGGAGGGCTGAGCTTCCCCAGCTCTCACCTGCTTTTGCATACACTGCTCAGTGGCAGGCGCACAGGTCTGTGCCTCTGCCTTCTCCCACCCGACTTTGGAGGAGGGAGATATGGACAAAGAAAGGCCCAGGCAGGGATCAGCAGCCAGGACCCTGGGGCTATGTCTATGCTGGTGAGTTCTTGCACAAGAACGGCCGTTCTTGCGCAAGAATCCACAGAGCATCCACACTGCCTGTCTGCTCTTGCGCAAGATTTACAGTACCTGCTGGTAAGAGAAAGCTTCTTGCGCAAGAGCTACACTCTTTTCTTACAAGTGTAAGCTCTCTTGCGCGAGAAGCCACCAGTGTAGACATAGCCTGGGTGTGGGGGGGAGATAGCAGCCAGGGCTCTGGATGCAGGTCAGGTGTGCTGCAGCACTTCCCCACACACAGCTAGGTCCTGTGCCTGTCCCCCAACTGTGACCTCAGAGCTCCGGAGCAAGAACCTAACTGACCCTGCCAACCTCCCCACCCTCTCTATCCTGTCTCAACCGAGATCCAGGAGCCTCGGCTGGGGACGCAGAGCTCCAAATAGTGCCCCCACCCCTAGTGTGACAGACAAAGCTGTGAGGAGGCCTGGGGTTTACAGCAAGAAACCTATCAGCCTTTTTGTCAATTTCACAGGTCTAGCAGATGTCTGTGAAACCGACAATGACAGCGAACAACTGCCCTGCTATACGCTGTCATGATGGTGAAAGTATATTAGTGTAATAGAGCATTTATATCATAAGTAAGGCTGCAGTAGTATATACTGACACAATTAGCATGATGTAAGCTGCCTTACGTTGACCAAACTGTACGTACATAAGAACAGCCATACTGGGTCAGACCAAAGGTCCATCTAGCCCAGTATCCTGTCTGCCAACCTTGCCCAATACCAGATGCCCCAGAGGGAGGGATCACAACAGCTAATCCTCATGTGATCCCCTCCCCACCATTTCCAGAGAAACAGAGGATAGGGACACCATTCCTACCCATCCTGATTAATAGCCATTGATGGCCCTAACCTCCATGAATCTATCTCACTCTTTTTTTAACCCTATTAAAGTTCTAGCCTTCACCGCATCCTCTGGCAAGGAGATCCACAGGTTGACTGCACACTGAGAAAAGAAAAACTTCCTTTTGTTTGTTTTAAATCTGCTGCCTATTATTTTCATTTGGTGACCCCATAGCTCTTATTATGGGAATAAGTAAATAACTTTCCCTTATTCATTTTTTCATACCAGTCATGATTTTATAAACCTCTATTATATCCCTCCTTAGACTCCTCTTTTCTAAGCTGAAAAGTCCAAGTCTTTTTAATCTCTCTTCATATGGCACCTGTTCCAAACACCTCATCATTTTTGTTTCCCTTTTCTGAACCTTTTCCAATGCTAATATCTTTTTTGAGATGGGGTGACCACATCTGTACACATTCACTCAGTGTGCAGAGGCAGTGAAAAAAGCAAATAGAATGTTAGGAGTCATTGTTAGGACTCCTAACATTCTATTTGCTTTTTTCACTGCCTCTGCACACTGAGTGAATGTTTTCAAAGAACTATCCACAATGACTCCAAGACCTCTCTCTTGAGGTGTTGTAGCCAAATTAGTCCCCATCGTATTGTATACATAGCTGGGATTATGCTTTCCAGTGTGCATTACTTTACATTTATCAACATTGATTTCATTTGCCATTTTGTTGCCTAATCACTTAGTTTGATGAGATCTTTTTGAAGCTCTTCACAGTCTGCTTTGCTCTTAACTATCTTGAGCAGTTTGGTATCATCTGAAAATTTTGCCACCTCACTGTTTACCCCTTTCTCTAGATCATTTATAAATAAGTTGAATGGATTGGGTCCCAGGACAGACCCTTGTGGGACCCCACTAGTTACTTCTCTCTGCTCAGAAAACTTACCATTTATTCCTACCCTTTGTTGCCTTTTAACCAGTTATCAGTCCATGAAAGGACCTTCCCTTTTATCCGACTCCTAACATTCTATTTGCTTTTTTCACTGCCTCTGCACACTGAGTGAATGTTTTCAAAGAACTATCCACAATGACTCCAAGACCTCTCTCTTGAGGTGTTGTAGCCAAATTAGTCCCCATCGTATTGTATACATAGCTGGGATTATGCTTTCCAGTGTGCATTACTTTACATTTATCAACATTGATTTCATTTGCCATTTTGTTGCCTAATCACTTAGTTTGATGAGATCTTTTTGAAGCTCTTCACAGTCTGCTTTGCTCTTAACTATCTTGAGCAGTTTGGTATCATCTGAAAATTTTGCCACCTCACTGTTTACCCCTTTCTCTAGATCATTTATAAATAAGTTGAATGGATTGGGTCCCAGGACAGACCCTTGTGGGACCCCACTAGTTACTTCTCTCTGCTCAGAACATTTACTATTTATTCCTACCCTTTGTTTTCTGTCTTTTAACCAGTTATCAATCCACAAAAGGACCTTCCCTCTTATCCCATGACAACTTACTTTACTTAAGAGCCTTTGGTGAGGGCCCTGGTCAAAGGCTTTCTATAAATCTAAATATACTACATCTAAAGGATTAGCCTTGTCCACATGTTTGTTGATCCTCTCAAAGAACTCTAGCAGATTAGTAAGGCATGTTTTCCCTTTACAGAAACCATGTTGACTTTCCCCCAACAAATTATATTCATCCATGTGTCTGACAATTTTATTCTTTACTAGTTTCAACTAATTTGCCCGGTACTAACATTAGACTTACTGGCCTGTAATCACTTACTGGCCTGTGATCTAGAGGATCACCTCTAGAGCCCTTATTAAATATTGGTGTCACATTAGCTATCTTCCAATCAATTAGGTACAGAAGCTGATTTAAAGGATATTTACAAACCACAGTTAATGGTTCTGCAAATTCTTTCAGAACACTTGGGTGAATGCCACCTGGTCCCAGTGACTTGTTACTGTTAACTTTATCAATTTGTTCTAAAACCTCTTCTAATGACACCTCAGTCCGGGACAATTCGTCAGATCTGTCACCTAAAAAGAATGGCTCCGGTTTGGGAATCTCCCCAATATCCTCAGCCATTAAGACTGAAGCAAAGAATTCATTTAGCTTTTCCGTGATGACTTTATCATCTTTGAGGTCTCCTTTAGCATCTCGATTGTCCAAGGGCCCCACTGGCTGTTTAGCCAGATTCCTGCTTCTGATGTACTTAAAAAACATTTTACTATTACTTTTTGAGTTTTTGGTTAGCTATTCTTCAAATTCCTTTTTGGCTTTTCTTATTATATTTTTACACTTAATTTGACAAAGTTTACGGACTTTTCTATTTTCCTCACTAGGATTTGACTTCCACTTTTTAAAAGATATCTTTTTATCTGTCACCGCTTCTTTTACCTGGTTGTTAAGCCACGGTGGCACTTTTTTGGTTCTCTTATTGTGTTTTTTAATTTGGGGTATACATTTAAGTTGAGCCTCTGTTATGATGTCTTTGAAAAGTTTCCATCCATCTTGCAGAGATTTTACTTTTGTCACTGTACCTTTTTTTTTTTCTGTTTAACTGACTTCCTCATTTTTGTGTAGTTCTGCTTTCTTAAATTAAATGACATAGTGTTGGGCTGCTCAGGTATTTTTCTTACATTAGGTCATTGTTTTCAAGCGGTCCAGTTATATTTACCTCTTGAACCAGATCCTGCGCTCTACTTACGACTAAATCAAGAATAGCCTCTCCCCTTGTGGGTTTCAGAACCCACTGCTCCAAGAAGCAATCATTTAATGTATCAATAAATTTTATCTCTCCATCCTGTCCTGAAGTGACGTGTACCCACTCAATCTGGGGATAGTCGAAATCCCCCACTATTTCCGAGTTTTTTAATTTGATAGCCTCTCTAATCTCCCTTAGCATTTCATAGTCACTATCATTGTCCTGATTATGTGGTCGATAATATATTCCTACAGCTATATTCTTATTATTGGAGCATGGAATCACTATCCATAGAGATTCTATGAACGTTGTGGTTCATTTAAGATTTTTACTTCATTCTTTCATGTATAGAGTCACTCCCTCACCAGCACGACCTGCTCTGTCCCTCCGATATATTATATACCCTGGTATGACTGTGTCCCATTGCTTGTCCTCATTCCACCAAGTTTCCGTGATGCCTATTATATCAATATCCTCCTTTAAAACTAGGCATTCCAGTTAATCCATTTTACTATTTAGACTTCTAGTATTTGCGTATAAGCACTTTAATAATTTGTCACTATTTATCTGTCTGCCATTTCTTGATGTTAGACTCTTTCATTTGATTGTGCCTCATTTGATCTGATAGTTCCATCATCTCCTCCTGACTAGAAAATAGAGCATCTCTATTAATAGAACCTCCCTGTGACGGGGCTGGCCAGCCTCCCACTGAACAGGGGGGCGGAGAGCCCGCCTATTGGGTGGAATACGCCCCTTCCCCGCAACCCTGCTGGGCATGCTCGCAGTGCAGCCCTGGTATAAAAGGCTGCCGGGCTGCTCAGTTGGGGCTGGCCGCGGGAGGGGAAGGAGCTCCTCTCCAGGCCCCAGAGCCGGAGCCACAGCCACCGGACCGATGTTGTCACTGGGACGAGCCAGACCACAACGCTGGCCGTGCTGCACAGCCTCCCTAGAAGCTGTTGCTGCTGTTGCTGGACCTGCACCTTCAGGTGGGACTGCCGTCAGACCAGGCAAGGGGGTAGGAAGCAACCCAAGGCAGGGGCCAGAAAAAGGCCCAGCGGGCTCAGTGAGTTCCGGGGAGAATGCCCTGCTGAGCCAGTAGTGGGAACCACCAGCCACTGATAGGGCCCTGGGTTGGGGCCCAGTGGAGGGGGGGGGCCCAGGCCCCTCTACCCCTTCCTACCAGATCCCAGACGACGAGGGAAACCATTTAAAGGACTAGGCCGCTGGGCCTCCGTTGAAAGGACTAGGCCTCTGTGCCTGCATTTAAAGGGGACCGGACCTTGGGGAGAAGAGGATGGGGCTGGTGAGCCAGCCACACTCCCCTAATAGATAGTTTAAAAAGGACTGGGGGAAAAGCCAACAGGTAGTATAAGCTGACATGTAGTATACCACAGAGTTAAGGGCTTGTCTCCTCTACCAGGTGGATTGTTGCTGCAGCGATTGATCCATCAGGGATTGATTTATTGGGTTTTCCCACTAAATCAACTGCCAAATGCACACCTGTGAAGTCCAGTACTCCACCAGAACAAGACACATTACATTGATTGGCGAGTTTCTCCCATTGACCCAGCTCTAGCCAGCCTAGATTTCACACCACTGGACAGTCATGCAGCTGGGAACCCAGACCCTGCTGACAGCCTTTAGCACACATGCATCCCAGCAGTGTGCTACTTGGGGCACATGCAGCCCACAGGTTGAGACCCCACAGCCTAAGAGCCTGACTTTAAACAATCCAGAGTAAAAATTTCTCATCACTCCCCTCCATTTCCCCCCCCCCCCCAAGTGCTCAACTATTTATTCGCAGGATTACCAGTTTAGCTGGAAATTTGAATTGAAATTGAAACATAAATATATACTTGTAAAAGCATATATAAATTACTTGTACTTAGAAAGCATAATGTGCTTGAAAAGTATGAATGAAGACTAGCTTTCTTAGACAGCTGTTGTTTATAACAAAGTCAGCACATTTATTTTGGCTATATTGGCCAACACAATAATTTCAAATTATGATTTGCAAGCAAGGTATGAGTAAACTTTCTCTTGACAGTTAGCAATAAACCAGACTCGAGGACCAGAATGTATTTACATGAACACACCTACTTTGCCTAGCTATCCAACAGGCATTGGTTTATTAATCACTTTAGTACTGAATGTGTGTGTGTGGGAGAGGCATTAAATATTTTCCTTGTGGTATGAGTGAAGGGCAGCAAAACTGTACTTAGCTTACCTGAATGAGGGGGACATCCTTCAGTGCTTAATTTGTGATAGGGCTTGCCAGTTCTGCACCTCAGCTTCTCTAGACTTGTTGCATCTGTTATAAAAGTAGCAAATTTGCTTGAGCTCTGGTACCTCTTTCATTACAAATTAAGCATAGATTTATATAGTAAAGAGGAGGAACTTGGTTTGCCAGACTAATTAGACAAGCCAATACTGACAACGTACACAAAAAGGCTGCAAAACACAAAACCTCTAGCCAGTCACCATAAAAGCCAATTTTAGAAGTACTTAATGAGACAGTTAAGAATGCTGGACAGACAACACAGTTGCTGTGAACCAACATAGCTGTTGCATCATGCTTTCTATTTATGCAAGAAATACCCCACACTGCAAGCTGTAGGCCAAGCTAAGTGTGTTTTCACTTGTTAATCCTGAAGTTTGATGCTGATTCCGAATATGATTGACAAATGTTTGCTACATCTTTCTGCAAAAGACTCAGTTGACTGAATAGAAGCATGCACTGCAACAGTGAAAGTCTCAGCAGTTGACAAAGCGAATAACTCTCTTACCATATTCAAAGAATGTGCATACATGGCTGATGAATGCACATAGGCATCAAGTATTAAGTCATGGTATACATTATCTTGATGTTCATGGGAGACCAGTAGATACATTCTAGATGTTCAAGTTATAGGAGACACATCTGCTGCATATGGGACATCTTATAAGAGTTAAATGCTAGTAAACTGATCCCTATTTGACGAAACTATAAACTTCTCTGAAAGACATAGATGAGTACAGGCAGTCCCCAGGTTATGTACAAGATAGGGACTGTAGGTTTGTTCTTAAGTTGAATCTGTATGTAAGTCGGAACTGGCGTCCAGATTCAGCCACTGCTGAAATTGACCAGCGGCTGACTACAGGAAGCCCAAGGCAGAATTGCTCTGCCCCGGGCTTCCTGGAATCAGACGCTGATCAGTTTCAACAGCGGCTGAATCTGGATGCCTGGGACAGAGCAGCTGGGGTGCTGCCGGGTAGGTCCCCGCAGCGCCACACCTCGGCACTGCGGGGACCAACCCGGCAGCACCCCAGCTGCTCTACCCCAGGCGTCCTGATTCAGTCGCTGCTGAAACCGACCAGCGGCG